AATTTGAACAATTGAAAATCTAGTCTTTGGTTTCTCAGGCATACCAAGCATTTTAGATTCAAAGCAAATCAGTCTAACGCTCAGTGGGCTGAAGCCAAAGTTTGTATTTTCTCTGAAACGAATCATAACAGCTGCCAAAACATCCCTATTGCTCTATTCCAAGCAAGAAGTAGAAGACAAAGATGGGCTATACATGTCTGTTTTATGCTCCTTCTCATTTGCAGGTATATGTCATCAGTTGCCAAATCCCCCCACGTCATCCTCCAGTTTCTCTCCCCATTTCTGCCTGTGACTGCAGAGGCCCTGCATCTTGACATTGCACTCCCAGCTTCTCCATGCTGGAGGCCCCATCTTACAGAATGTCATGTCAGCACTTTGACTGTGACTGCCCTGGGATGAAATGGCACCAATATTGGTGACAAGCTGGGCTTCTGGTTTTACTCAGGAGAATCATTAACCATCTTTAAATAAATAAATCTCTGCTGCTACACATTGTACAATTTAGAACATGTGCCTTTGTGACTTTTGATGTGAGGCTTATGTTTAAAACCATTGTTTGTTTTTTCTGCCACCTATATCAGCATGCGTTATGATTGATTGTTCAGGACCTTGGTTTCAGTCTCTATAACAGCCTATTCTTCAAAGCCCCCAAACTTAATATTAAATGATATCACCTATCATTTAAGCCAGCTCTATCCAAACACACCCTTCAATGTGGAAAGCATCCATCTAGTTGTATATGTGTGTGTGTGCGTGTGCGTGTGTGTGTGTTTATATATAAACAGATTTATATAGAAAACACCTTACATCTGTGCTGGACTTCATAACTTGCTTGACCCATTGGCATAGCAACTTGAGCCTTTAATTAATTGTTGCCTCTTTTAAAATTCTATTCCTCAAACCGAATTAGGTGGCCCCCCTTTGGGCTGCCTTAGTGATACTTAAAGGGGACATTGCATAAGTAAAGGCATCCCTTTGATCACCAACTTCATGATCACTAAAATGTTGATTACTCAACAATGGGAAGATGCACCATCATCTATGGGCACCTGGGAACTGGTTCTACTTTATTCTTCCATGAGGCTATGGCTTGACCAATGCTAACTGTGTCAAAACCTGAAGAACCTAAGGAGTCTCGCCATCTTCTTGAAGTGGTTACAGTGAGTGTTTGTATGAGATTTTCTGGAGTGTGGTATAAGCCCTGAGAATACATAGGCAGTATTCCAGTAGGAAGTGAGTTTTTCTTAACATGGTAAAACTCTGTTATGTGAGGATAAAATCACTAGCAGTTGCATGCCCAGTCAAGGACTCTTCTCCTGCTCCAAGTCTCCATCTCGTTGGTTTCCATTGTTTCAGAGTATCTGGCTAAATAAAATAGGGACTTCATCCACTCTGGAGTGTGTGTGTGTGTGCTTGTTGGTATGGGTTCTCCAAGGATCCACACATAACTAATCTGAGTTTACTTACCTTCATACTGTGATGAAATGTTCTTTGTCCCCACATTTTTTTCTCTGAAATCTAAGCTGAGAGTAAGCACCATAACTACTCATCTTAATGTCATTGTCCCTCTGCTGGTAAATGTCCTGGTGTGTAGTAGATTCTCAAATATTTAACTGAGTGGGAAAATATCAGCCGTTATGTAGGACTTCACGCATTAAAGTTCTTAATATTCCTTATTTTATTTGAGTTTTGCCTCTAGTGGCTTTTAGCTATGATTTCATAGAATACTATCATTCTTGAGCTGAACTAAAGGCTTCTGCCTTTAAAATCAGAATCTTTTCTCAATTACCTGAAAAATACTAATGAATAGCATTTTCTCCCATTTTTTAACTTACGTCCCATCATATATATATATATATATATATATATATATATATATATATATATATATATTCCTTGAAAGCTTTGACTTCTATTGTAAGGCTATATATAGCTTTGCACAAAACTAGATTTTACTATTTTCATTGACATATCATTCCATGAAAATTAACTTGCCTTTCAGAAGTTCAGATATTTGAGCAGAGAATGCTATTCACAACAAGAGCTATTTCTTCTTTTTCATGGGGGTAGGACAGGGGAAGAGGATGGATTGTCTGCCTGTAATTACATAATGGATAGTGCCACATCCTAAGCATTCCTTGTGTTTTATTTCCACCTCCCATCAGCTCCATGATATGTTATTACTAGCAGGTTTTAAGCAATGAGACTGTGTCACAGAGCAGTTCAAGCCTAATGTCACAGAACCAGTCAATGGGAAGGTCAGATCATTTGACTCAAATACCCATTGCCCTGTCCACATGACGGTTAGTGGTATTAGCATCTATTCTCTATTGTTAAATTGTAAACTCCTTCAATGCAGAGGTTATGTTCATTTGTCCCATGGAAGGGAGGTCTCCATAAAACTGGATAGATTTGTCTACTCCTTATTTTAGTTAGCTTTGTTTGGGAAATGTGACTTCTCTGTATATCCAAGCATGGACCCAGATCATCTTCAGTCCTTGCCATTATTTGCCTTCCATTGTACACCACAATGTACCTCACTGTCTTTAAGCTGTAACTCAGCCTCTTCCTCACAGCCACCCTCAAATGAGGGTTGGTGACTGGAAAAATAATACGAGGAAAAGTTGTTAACTCTCTGAGATAACAGTTCATATTTTAAAATGCTCATTATTAATTCCAATATGGAATAATTTGCACTTGCTATTAACACATTAAGACAGCCAAAGAAAATGGGAAAGTGTCTCAACAGGAGACATTCAAATGTGAAGTTAAAAAAAAAAAAAGAAACGGAAGAAAACTTTTTTTTCTGATGAGCTAAGGGTATGTTGAAGATCTAGCCATCATACAGTTTATTTGTGTGGCTTTAGGGTTTTTGCTTTTATGTGTTAATTATTAATAAAATTAATTTTCAACACATCAATAAAAATGTGAAATCTGTACATAGTAATGGCCACCATTTCCTCCTTTTAAATGCCCCAATAGATGATGCACTGGTGCAAAACTGAACTATCACCTTCTGGGAAGTCATACTAATACTGTAGCATATTGATTGAATTCACAAAGCTGAATGTGTTCTACTTTAAAAATATGTCTTTAATAAGGATAACCTTTTGTCATTAAAATAAAGATGGATAGTGTGACAAGACATGGGCATATATCCTTAAAGTTAAAGAAAACTATCTGCGGTAGTTCTTTTTTAAAAGAGTGTTTATTAACCAAGAAAAATCTTGTTATAGGCACATATACATATGACATACATAGGTATATTTCTCAGCTGAAAAACCATTAGAACCAAAATTGTCCCTAAGATTTCCATTTCTGTGCCTCTAAATTAACTTGTTTTTGAAGATAAGGAAACACATTGGTGACCCATGGCATTCCTTGTTTTTTGGTTATTTGTGTTGTCCATTTTAGGATTATTGAGGTATACTGTCCTGGTCAGGTTAAATGCTTGGGAAAAAAGCCAAAGTTTGATGGGGTTTACTCCATTTTCTTTGTGATTTTAAAGATAACAGGTGCTTCTGAGGGTAGTGCACCCAGACTGACATGTTCAAAATTTCATGTTGCTAGTAATTCCAGAGCTTAGACTGAAAGGAGTTCGTTCTTCAAATCACCTGAAAAAGGGGAAAATACTGTGTGAGACTAGATTTCTTAGTACTTTCTCTTGCTTTTTACTCTTGTTTTTTTTTTCATATTTTATTTAGGAAAAGATTTGCCAACCATACAATTATAGGTATGACAGTTGCTTAAGAAATTTTGGAGATGGAGATGGAAAAGGTGGGGAATAATGTAGGGCTATAGCCATTAATAAAAAAGAAAGGAACAGGAATTTAGATATAATAATGCCTTCCTGGCATGGTGTCTGTATCTTGAGTAGCATGTTAATTTCTGATTATGAAATAACTTACATTTCAAAAACCAACTCCTATCTGGACAAGGATGAAAAATATTAACAATTCTGTGTTTTGTACAAAACAAGAATGTTGATACACATATAAAATCAGTTTTATACCTAACTTAAAACATAGATGATAAATGTTGCTTTAAACTGCAATAGCTTCAGAGGTTTGGGAATTATTTTCAGAATATTGATAAATGGGAAATTGCATTTCAACTATTTTCAAGTCTTTTCCCAAAAGCACACAAATAAATTGTTAATTTTTATGTGAAAGTGATTTTTAAACCACAAGCAGATTTAAAAAAAATTTTTAAAGACTTTTCTCTATAGTGGCCAATTTCATATAAAATGTTATTTTAGGCCTAATTGCAAATGGAGTAGTTAGGCTGCCAGCTCTGCTAAGGTTGAATTTCATTTGAACTTTCTAATAGTATGATCTTTTTTTCAGAATTTAATAACTGACTCAAATATTTAATAGTGGAAGCCTTTATTAAATTAAAAAGAAATCAGGGTATATTTTTAGAAGAACTAACTTATTTTCTTTATCAATTTTATCTACTTTGAGAGAAAGGAAAGTGAATGGAACCAATCTCTTTGTGTACTTAAATAGACATTAATGCTATGACCCCAGCAAATAATTTATTTCAGGATGTATCATTGTTCAAAAGATTTGAAAAGCACCAAATGGCAATAATAACTACACTTCTAGCTCTACTGAATGGCAATTTAGACTGACTGTATGAACCTCTTCATTTGTCTTCTGGATAGTCATTCTTTTTAATATTCACATATATTTTCTAGATCCTTTTTTAAATTGCCCACTATCCATGTGTGCATTGCCTAACAGTTTTTGTTCAATGCAGTGGCTTGTTTTGAAATTCAAGTGGGGGGGAAGGTGAGAGTTGAAAGATTTTGTTTGCACATGTCACTCTGTATACAGATGACAAAAGACCGTTAAATTCACTAATTTACAAGCATCCTTAGAAAGAATATTTTTACATAAAAGCATGTTGTAAACCTTTTTAATTAAAGCACAGTTGTGCCATGTACTCTCTTTCCCCCAGGGCCCTTTTGACCTCTCACCTCCTATTTTGTCTTGCAGGCACTCCATTGCTGGTGAGGAGAAGCAGTGACCCAGCTCCAGGGCCACCTGCTGATGCCCAGCCAAGCTCTTCACACCCCAGTGGCCAGAGTCTGAAACCTGTTGTTTTAGTAAGTATCCTGCCCTTTGCATTTCTACTGAGAGATCAAAGTCCTTACCCATAGACTAACTGGGGCTTTGCAGTCTGGAAAGTAAATTGATAATTAGAAATCTTTTGCAAAGATATACAGTGGTAGTTATAATAGTGCAATCTATTAATAGTACATAGGTGCGGTGAGGACCATTATATATAGTATCAACTATGTGCCAAAATCTGTTTTCAGTGTTTTAGTTTGTCATCTAAACTTCTGCTTCAAGGTTAAGTTTTTATCTTCATTTTACTGATAAAGAAATTGAAACAGAAGGAGGTTTAGAAAGTTGTTGAAGGCCACATAGGAGGTGGCAGAGCCCGGAAATTAACCCAAGTGATCTGGCTGAAAAGATCATGCTTTGTAGCCAGATGTGGTAGCACACACCTGTAGTCTCAATGGCTTAGGAGTCTGAGGCAGGAGGATTGCAAATTTGAGGTCATCCTGGGAAATTTACTGAGACCCTGTCTCAAAATAACATCAAAAAAAAAAAAAAAAAAAAGGCTGGGGTTATAGCTCATATGCAGAATGTTCCTGGTTCAATTCTGGCATCCCCCTCCCTGGTCACTGTCACCCCCCATTCGCAAAAGACCAGGCTTTGAATTTGCATGCTGTACCACTGCATGTCCTTCATCCTGTGGCTTCAAAATACCCAAAGATGAAGTCTATATATGTTTTTTCTCTAATAACACAATGCTTTGCAAAGTCATATCAGGATAAATAGTAATACAGTTTCACATTTTCAATATCATGAATATGTGCTGTGACTATTAGATTTCTAGAATCCATCATAAAACTAAAATCCAGATAAAAATAAAATTATATACCCAAACTCCTTATAACCAGATATACTTATAACTGCTATACTTACAATCCATAGGTTAAATGGAGAATAATTTCCTGAAGAGATTACATCTTCCTTCCATATAGAACTGTGGGATCTTTATGCTAATTCCTACTTGCTTTGAAAAGTTATAATTGAACTTCATTCATCCAAATAGCCTTAGAGTTAGATTTCAATTAATGTCTACATATCATTGTAATAGGGGATCCTTAACAACATAACCATATTAAAAAGTTAGCTCCTAAAAGCCAGTCTTCTATTTTGAGTCTATCTATAGCACCATTAGGGAAAAGAAAAAAAAAAGCAACATATTATAGGTTTATCAGAATGCCGAATAGATTAAACAAATTCTCCCAGTTTGTTCCATGGCTTTCTTATCAAGAGCCAGTGCTAATGTTATGAGGTAAGAGTTGCTATACCAAACCACTGGGCATGTATTAATATATTCGTGGTAATATTTTGCCATATTTCTTCCCTTAAATAAGCAAGCAAATGTCTTGAAAGTATTTTAGATGTAATGTTCTCTCACTATTCTACTTAAAACTCTATCCTTTTAAGGAATTATATTTAATGGAACTTTAATAAAAATCAGGTGTGTGTGGTCTACTTTAATGATGAATACAAACAAGACCAGTATGTGGTAAGCTCTGCTAGCTTTTTTTTTTTTTTTTTTTGGTAACCCTCTGATTGAGACCATGTTAAGCCTAAATATATTAGTTTGGGGGAAGAGGACTATATAAATGAGAGAATAATTGCATAAAAGAGAATAACTACAATTTAGTGTTGATTTTTAGGGTATCTGCATAACCTAAAATGAGAGTATATTTGATCATTGTTTGCATATACAAAATCCAGCAAAGTTTATCTTTTCATTACATAAATGCAGCACTTACATCAATTAAAATGTTATTGATATTGCTTTCCCTAAAAGGAAATTATAGGGCTACTATCTTTCTGATAGATTTTGTAGTCTCACCAAAATATCACATTGTGAGTGCCACAAGTTAGGGTATGAGGCAGGACGACAAACTATTACTAGAGATATGCATATCCTTTTTCACAAGGAAATATTGGGACCTCAAATCCTTATACCTAATTTTTTTCCACAGAGTAAAAAGGAAAACAGTTTTATCCAGAGTAAAAAGGAAAAAGGGTATTTCCTCCTTTTCTCTCAGTGTCTCTGGGCATGACAGCCTGAGACTCTAAAAGCAGAGTCTGGTTCTTGACTTGCCATGGGATAGAAACACATTTTATACTTCTCTTGCTTTAGTGTAAAATAATTTCCATGACACTCATAAGCCTTAACATCTCCAGGTCCAAGCATGGGGCCTGACTTATCATTATGTATCTAGTATCCAGATGTGCAAAGTGCTCAGTATATTTGTTTTGGACTTAGGAAAGCAAGGCACATATAAACCCAGAGAAAGGCCTACAAAATTCTCAGCAATTAGCCTGCTTGATAATTAATAATCTCAGTCATTTCTCTATTCCCCCAAAAGAATCTGTCTGGAAAATGTTTATAAGTTCAAAGATTTGGTTCACCCCAGGCAAGAGACAGATGTTTTAACTGCCCTATTGTGCAAGACTTGGTGAAGTTAATAAATAGATCGAATCTATTTTTACCTAGAAAAAAGATACAATTTGGGTGTGTGTGTGTTATAACTTTATTCATATATTTCTGTATATCTGAATCTGTGGCCTCGAATGATAGCCACTAGCTTACATGGCTGTGAAACTCTTGAAATAGAGTTGATCTGATTTGAAATGTATTGAAGTTTTGTATGTGCACTTTCAAAAACTGAAGTGTGAAAAAAATAACATCTCATTAATCATTTTTATATTGACTGTTGAAATGATAATATATTTGATATTTTGGGTTAAGCACAATATATTATTAGAACTATTTTCACCTGCTTCATTTTACTTTTTCATAACATGGCTAATAGAAAATTTAAAATTGCAGCTGTTTTTGTTATTCCATTTATATTGCATAGTGCATCTGTGGGACAAAAGTAAAACTGAATTTAGCATTAATGAAATGGTTGGAGATATTTGTAGGAAGATCTTTGAGGACCATCTCATCTCCCTGGTGAAAGTATGGTTGAACTTGTGTACAGCAAGTCCTGATTCAAGCCTTTCGTCTGGCGTAATTATTAACAGTGACCCCAGTGACTCTCAAAGGAGTGCATTTTGTGGCACCCTGCATATAGCCCTATAGTTACTTTCATTGTTTGCTCAGTGGTAAGAGAACCATGGGAACACAATAGGCTCCATTCTTAGCTGCGGACACATTGCAGAGCAGCTTCTGTGTGGCAAGCTCCTGAGCTCAGGAAGGTGAGACTTCAGGTTCTATTCAGATTCCAGAATTTACTGGATGCTTCCTCTATAACTTCAGCTATCCTGTACTTAATTCCCATTATTTGATAAGTGATGATGAATATGGGGAATGTGTGATAATGTAGCCATGTATCACCCATTACAAAAAAAAATAATTGCTTAAAAAAAATCTATGTTCAATTGCATTTCAGTCCAATATCCAAGGCGGGGGGAACAATCAAAATTTCCATCTCTTAAACAGTGTTCATATGTAAGTAATTCACAGATGGCAGGACCCCACGTGGGTTATGTTCAATCATTCCCAAGAAATGAAACATATAACCCACAGCATAAGAATCTGAAGAATGAATATTTGACACATTTGATTATGTTGAAATATTGCCTTGAAGACCACAGCTGATGACTGTTATTTTTAGTTGCAATTCATTAGGCCTACCATAGAGGGTAAAGTTTTCATTGATGCCCAGGGGTGTGTGGTTTTTAAAAGTTAGAAAAGTTGCACTTATTTTTGGGTAAGTTATTACAAATTGGTTATTTAAGATGTGCACTCTGAAACACGCTGTAGTTTTAAAATGGGCCTAAATAAGAAATATCAAATTTTCTGCAGACTTCATGTTCTGTTTATATTGATAAGTAACCAAATCTCAGTATTTGTTACTTAAGGTACCACCAGATAAACAGCACAGAAATTTGTTTCCTCTATTCCTCTTTCATACCAGAATAGTACAAATTATTAATGTGCAGATAGCAATGGCTATTTATCTTCCAAGACAATAGCAAATCCAGTTCTACTGACTGCTTTTGAATTAAAGAAAGAGAATCCCGGGCACAGGATATTTCTTAGGGAAAGTCTGCTTATGAGAAGTCTTACCTCCCTTCCCTTGATTGCAACCTGGTGTTCTTGGCTTGAGGGCATGCCATAAAACCAGGTCCTTGAAATTGATGTTCCCGAATTTGCGGATGGAACAGAATTCTAAAACAGATGTGAGTTTTTTTCTTAATATCCGGTTAACTACTATAGTTGTTTTGTGTTTTAATGACTGTTTATAGTTTTGAATTTAACCCTTAAAGCAAATTGATCCCGCAGGGCGAGTAAATTAAAAAGTGCATTCTTGAAAATTATAATACTGTGGTCGTTCTCAGATAGTAAAGGACATTGTTCTAAAATCCTTATTTATTTTGTATTTCCAAAATTAAGAGACTACTGGTCTGTCTTTGAAAACAAATGTGTCATATATAAGTAAAAATAAGCTGGCAATTTTTGGGGTTGTTAAATGGGAAGTCCATGGATGGGTTGCAGGGAGTCTGGTCAATCTGCAGTTGTATGCCATGGCATGCCAGTGTGTGTATGTGTGTTTATTTCTCTAAAAAGATTCTATCACTCTTTGAATTTTAAAACAAAAAAACAAAATTAAGAACTATCAGTTTTTGGTTGGATAAAATAGTATATGGAAGCCACCAATTCTCAAAGTAGGAATGATGATAGAGATTAAACAGAAAATGATCTCTCTTTCCCTGCAAATACATATTAAATAATTAAGATTATTTCATCACATTATCATCTTTTCTTACCAAAACATAGCACAGAAATTCGGAATTTTAAGTTAAATAGAAGCTTTTGAATTTCTGCACTGAGAGACCAAACACATCTGTTTATTCAGTAGCAGCATCATTTTTAGCAACTCTAAGATTGGGGTGAAGGACACAGATTAGTTATAAAAAGACACCCTAAAGGGAAGTGTTTCCATTTTTCCAGTGTGTTATAATATTCTTTGCAGATTTGGGGATTTAATCTACAAAT